CGGACGGTAGGTGGGGGGGGGGGGGGGGGGTTTGGAGCACAATCAGGCATTTTTGGCCCCATAGACTTCAGTGGGAGTGACTGTAAACACATGACACATGCAACATTTGAGCATTTTTTGGTGGCTGTTTTCTATTGGGCAAAACAAAAATGCCTGAAACGTGAACACACTTGTTATACACATCACAAGTGTGTATTTACATGCACAAAAAAAAACGTTTCAAAATCGCCTGAGAAATGCGTAGCTCAGATGTGAATGCTGTTCCTGTGTTCATTTTTGTGTAGTCTCTCATTGTCTATATTGAAAATTTACAGCCATTACTCCTGCCACCTGGTGGTTATTCTGCACTTCTGCGCCTCTAGCATATGGATTAAGGGCATAGTCCACCTGTCTGCAAAAATGAAATGAATGCACCCTCATTGATAAAATAAATGAAATGTGCATTTAATAAATTGTTGCAATAAAACCTGCAGAGCATTGCCCCAGCAATTCACCTTTGCAATACATTCCCCATGCATTCCAACAACCTCAGTACATTAGAAAAAGTAAACACTGTTAAGGTTTTGAAAAAGAAGCTCCTTTTCAATAGCATACCTGTAGGTCGTGCACAGACTCTTTCATGTCTGTCTGAAAATTACCTGGGTGACCCCCCCTTTCCTGCATAAATAGTAGGATGCACCGTACATTGGAAGGACCACAGGAACAAGCTCTCCTTGAGAAGTTCTGCTATATAAAAGGGTGCACTGATGCTTAAAGCCCAACACTTTCTTTTAAAGAGACCTCCCATCATTCCAAAAATTCCCAACATATACATTTTTTTTCTGCTGTCTTCTGGCCATTCATGTGATTACAGTGGTTCTTCCTTTCCTCCTCCAGCAGTGGTGGTGTGCAGTCCTCAGGATTGCCGAGAACTGCACTCACATTTAATGTCAGCAATGTTTTTTACTAGGGATGCCCCAATAACGGTTTTCTGTATCGAGTACCGATATTTATCTTTCAGTATTCGCCGATCCCGAGCATGAAACCGGCTTCCCAGGCCAATCAGGAAGACCGTCCAGGTTTCTGATTTACCAGGAAGACGCCTCCATGCTTTTTTGGCTGGCTCAATGCTGATTGGCCGGAAAGCCGTCTTCCAGGTCAATCAGAAAGCCAGGAAGCGGGTCATTACCCACCACCGGGCTTCCTGATTGGCCGGGAAGCCGGCTTCCTGGCCTATCAGCATTGAGCCAGCCAAACAACATGGAGACGGCTTCCTGGCCAATCAGGAAGCCAGGCGGTGGGTCATTACACTCATGGCCTCATGGCACTGCCGGTCAGAGGAAATCTCCTTCTGACCGGAAGTTCCGTTATCCGGGGTCAGTATCGGAGAATTGGGGCAAGTACGAGTACTCGCTCAAATACCAGTATCGGCGCATCCCTATTGAGCACAGGCTGACATGATGATGATGCCCTGGGCTCGCAGGAATTGTTGAATGATGCCGGGTGTAATTCAACCTGGACGAAGGTCGGCAATCAAGGAAGACAGTGCTGGAGAGTGGAGAGGGATTAAAGTGTGTTACCGACTTTAATCTTAACAGGAGTGCAAAAAAACAAGCTAATTGCGCAATCAAAAAAAAATCTTTGAGTTGGGCTTTAAACGGTTATTAGCAGAGCATTATAGGTTAGCTGACCTTGTTTTTAATAATAGTGACCCATTAACTGTAACTGCACACATAGGGGTCTATTTATAAACAATTCCTAGAACGTTTGCTCTGTGTGAATAGAGGCAAAAATGTTATTTGTATTATTTTTTTCTGATGAATATAATGTAATACTGCATTATGGCCACTAGATGGTGCTGAGTAGCAATGGACATAAGTACTTATTTACTGTGACTGCAGAGGAAGAATCAAACTACTGTGATGGATTGTTCCACATGTGACAAAACAAGCTGTCACATACAGTTTTAGTTTCTTTATAGGAACAAACATGCAAATTAGCCCCATGTGAACTTGTTTAAAGTTAAAGTTGTTAAAAAAATTAATTGTCAAGGGAATCACGCCCTTGGTGGCTGAAGCGAAGTCCTTTCTTGGTGGAAGAAGGAATAGGGAGAAGGCTTCCTTTGAGGAGATAAAACAAGGCTGTAAAGCAGTTTTAACCCCTTCATGACTGAGGCCCTTTTTTCCATTTTTGCACCCATGTTATATTCCACATTTTAGGCCTGAAAATGACGTAAAACCCCCCAACATTATATATTTTCTGAATGCCAAGACCCTATAGAATAAAATGGTGGTAGTTGAAAATTTTTATGTTGCGCAATATTAGCGCAACTCCTTATTAAACCCCAAAATTTAGTGACAAATTTAATTAAATGCCCCAAAACACAACAAATTACCCATTTTTTTAATGAAATATAAAATATGAGGTTACAACGAGTAAAACGATACCCAACATGCCCACTTTACAGATTGCGTGCGACCGTGAAACGGCGAAAAACTGCAGTACCCCAAAAAATCAATAAAAGACACTTTAAAAGCCCCCACAGGTCATCAATTTAGAGATACCCCAAAATACTGGCCCTAGAATTATTGCTCTCACTCCGGCGTGCGCGGCGATACCCAACATGTGTAGCGCGTTCGTCGTTTTCATGCGTAGGCGCACCCGACGCGTGTTTACGTGGCGACGCGCGTGCTCGCGGGGGCGGGGTACTTTAAAAATTTTTTTTTTTTATTATTAG